GCTATATCACTCCACAGCCTTGTCAATCTTAGTTGTTCTTCATTGCCAGTATACTCGTTGATCACCCGTATTCCGAGCTCTATACCAGCTGAAAACAGGCACCAAAAACAAGAAAAAGATAGATGGAGGCAGCAGCAATCACTGTAGAGGTACAATAGATAGTAAAGTAAGTTAAAAGAGAAGAAACGCTCGAAGAATGACAGAGCTTGCAGATTACAGCCATGTTTGGGTGGGGCTACACGTGACGTTTTAATGACAAAAATATTGATTTACTTCCGTTTCTTCTCAACTGAAACTGACTATACATGCATTGCAAATTAAAATTCCTTTTTAGTGTACTCACATCTGTATTGACGAATTTGTTGGACTGCTTCACCATGATCTCCTTGAGTATGTCAAGATCAGCTACAATGTCTATGTTTGTACCCAAATAATAACTAGAAATAAATTAATAATAAAATCAATGATATTTCTTGTTATAAGCCTTTTTGCCACCCCCTCTTTGTAGCATTATATACCATCAAGGATACATAATCATGTACTCATGATATTATATAGCGGGTTTTTTCGAGGATAACAAGTTTCGTAAATTTTGCAGATTTTTTAAGATTCGTGAAATTAAATTCCTTGAAAATCAATTTAATACGATACAAGATGCTAGATGTAAGAAGTTGTTTCTAAATGGATCCAGAACTCTCTGTGTACTATTGTAACTATATATTATGTGTTTATTCAAGTATATTCTAGAACAATCATGTAAAGTATTCTTGTATGTTATAGAACCTTCTGGACATTTATAAGATCTATATAAGTGTGTTGTGTGTTAGTTGAGAGTTAGTTTTTTGTTTTGTTTTGTTAGTTGGTTTTTGAGCTCAGTGTTGATTAAGAAATAAGTTTGGTGAACAGATAGCTAGGAGCGTCTGTTACACTAGAGTAGTGGAAATTTGCAAAAATTAATTTCATAAACCTCCAGGGCGCAAAACAGCTAGGTCATTTGTCAAAATTATCCTCAACAATTCCACTCCGTTTTGGCCCGGTAAATTGGGAAAGGAGGGCCATGATTTATTTGATAGCCATTATAGTGACACAATCTGTTATTATTATAAAGTACACAGCTTATGTGCAAATGTGCACAAAATAGGTTTCAACTTACCCAAATAGTTTCCACTTTTAGCAAGCCATTTCTCTTGAAAATCAGTAGAAGACTATATAAAATTTAGTAATAGCCTCTATCAGCCTAATTGCTTAATAATAAATTATTATTATTACCATTTTTAAAAGTTCTACTCCATTTCCAATAAAAGGCGTAACTGGAGGATGAGGGATTCCAAGCCTCTTAAGGACACCATATGCATGATACAAACTATGAATAAACAAGCAACACTGAAGTGTATATGGGACCTAATACTCACCGATAGCAACAATAAACAAGTAGCAGACTAAGCAGAGTAATGAAAAGTAGCAGTATGCCAAGAAAGCTCATTTTTGGGAGTCAGTAGAGAATCAGTCCACTAAAACAGACTCCCGCAGTTCTCTGGGCTCTCTAGGTGCTAACCAGACCTGACTGGCCTATAGCTAGTGGCTAGTCCGTCGCTACATAGATACTACATACACACATGGATATGAAACAGGAAGTCGGTATTCAATTAACTCTTTGAAGTTCACCTGTAAACGTCATAACCAGCATAGCTCTATCCTTGGCGCTTTTCTCTCTGTCTATGTTTTCAAGAATTTTCTTGACTCACTTATTTTTATGAAAGAAGGTATATAGGTGTTTTTGTTTTGTTCAGTAGACCTAATAATATATTCTCATTTCATTTTGTCAACAGGCCTCATGTTTACATGACAAAATTAGAAGACCTCCATTTTTATTTGTAACCACCTTTTCTAGACTCTCGAACGGAGTTAGCTAGTAAGTCTTGGAATCATAATAGTGTATTGTTTGTTACATGGACTGAAACTATTCTCGTGTCAATGTAATGAGAAATGACTGAGATAATAGCCAAAAACTAGTTTTTTTGATATTAATTTTGTAACCACCTTTTTGAGACTTCTGCACCAGGTATGAACAAGTTACTACTTTGAGTGTATTCATTAAGGCCTCTTATATAGACTGTTTATGGTTTCATTTTTCTAGATGCTATGTTTCAAAAGTAATAATATATTTTTTGCAAGTGTTTCAAAGGGTGTGGTTTAATTTTTAGTGAGAACTGAGTAGTGAAAGAATAGGTTATTTACCAAGAAACACAAGCAGGATTTCAGTGGCATTGATGAGACATTGTTACATGATTGTAAAGCTTTATATTTATGCTACCACAGAGAACTATCAAGATAGAGATGATGTACATTACAGTATGTACTGTATGGTGATACAGTAAGTGCGGCTTATAATAATTGTTGTCAATGTTTTTATTGCTATTTTTATAGTTAAAATTTGTTGAAGGACTCATAATAATAATCAATCTATTGGGTCACTGAAGAATAGAATAATCATCAACAGTTATAATGATAATAATTTAAATACTAATTTTTTAGTACTTAGCACAGTGCATTCTTTCTTGTAATAGTAGATCTTCACTTTTTAGAACTAGAATATCGATTGCAACTCTTATATAGTCGTAGACCTGAGCTTTAGTAAGTAATTCAACTGGATTTCTTCACTATTTTGCTTGTGCCATGCTTATACACGTGTAGTGTAAACGTCACAATACATCACTT